TTTTGGGCACTTTTGGCTTGGTTGAGAGATGCTTGCCCGCTGCTCGCGCGTAGGAAACCTGGTGTGCCTCAAGGGTAATTTTTGTCCTCTTCTATCCAAAAATCCACGTGTCGCCTTGTGATTATTTTTGGCTCCACAACATCATATGGTTTGTAAATTTGGTTTATGCTCACCATAATAACCATGGTGTATGCTCACCATAATAACCATGGTGTATGCTCACCATACACCTAATCAATTGATACGTGTCATTTCACCTAACTCTAGTTAGCTTTCACATTAAATGTTAGTTTTTCAATTTAAAAAAAAAAAAAAAAATTAACCAAGATTAAATGAAATGACATGTGTCAATTGATTAGATGTATAGTGAGCATACACCATAGTTTATGATGGTGAGCAAAAATGCTCCCAAAAATTTTTGTCTCTCTAGTATTACCCAAAAAATATATATATATTACATAAGGTGTTTGAATATACAAACAAAAAACAAAATGACAACTGGCCTAACCCATTCCGAACATATTCACATTATATTACTATACAATTTTCAATATTAACATCTAACTGTGTCACTATCGCTTACTAGTACAAGAATGTCGATTGATGCCTGACAAAACATTAGGAGAGAGCCCTTTGTTGTGATCTCCAACAAAAAACACAACTCTTAAAAAATAAGATGTATCTCATAAAATGAAAAAAAAAATAAAGAGAAAAATACAAAGGACATAAGCGTATAACTAGTCTCTATGACGAGAAATTCCCACATGCATTAATATTTAGTTTCACTGGTGTCATGGGTTCAAAGGTTGCACCACTAGGTGACAGCAACACAGTTTGTATGCATACAAACAAGAAATGCATGGCGTCCGTATTAAATTTGTCGGCCCATTCAAAATGTGGCGGAGAGGTTTTCAGTATATAGAGCTATTTACAGTAAACCCTAATCGCACCCCCTTTTCTCTCTCGCACAGAACCTACCAAAACTCTCTTCTCTTCCCTGCTGGCTCCTTCCTTTGGTTGGGGTCGGCGGCATCCCCTTGCCCTTCCTCTTTTCCTTCTCTTCCTTAGTGTTATGCTTGTGACCTGGCCTTCCGCTACCTATTGCTGTCGGATTGTGAGTCGCGGCTTTTTTCTCGGCGTCCTTCGCCGGTTCCCAACCTTTGTTTTTGTTGTTTTTCCTGTGATTTCCACCATATCTTTTTCTCTTGACAACCTTAATCCCCATCCTACAACCACCCTCCTTCAACCCCCAACATCCATCCACTTCATTCTTGTCCATGTGCTCTTCTTTCTCACAATCCGCACCTTCCTCAGCCTTTGCTCAAATCCAGTTGCGTCTCTCCTGCTTTGGCATCAGATTTATACCCTCCCTTCATGGCTCCGCACCCAACTGGCATGCCAGAAAATCGGCACCAAGCGTGATGCCGTTTGCCGAAAGCGAGAGTGTTTTAGATGCCCCCTTAGTCCCATCCCTTTCCATTTTATTTTTGTTTTTGGTCTACCTGCAGGAGCTTGCAATGGTGGTGAATATCTGGCGGCTCTTCTCTGATGTGGCAATTTTGGTGGCGAAATTTGGCTAGGGATGTCTCCTTGCTATGGGTTGGAGTTTTGTGCTATGATTCCTTTGTCGAATTCAATGCGGAGTTGATTTCCTTAGAGCGTTTGCTCATGTGGCTACCGGCAAAGTGAGCGTCGGTGTTGGTGGTTGTGACGGTGTCCGCTGGATAGGGATTAGGGTCACGGTTTTTCTTTTCTGTTTTGGTCTTATTGTTGAATGGACTTTTCGGCTATCCCCAATTGGGCTGTTTTTGTAGCTTGTATTGGGCCTTTTCTTATTTATTGAATTTCTTTTTTCTTTTCTTTTTTTAAAGGAGCTATTTGTCGTATTTAAACATACTTGCATGCATACAGTATTCAAAATCGTATTTTTAAGCGTTATTCATGACATCTTAACTTTGGACATTATCAAAGAGACCTTAATATATCAACATGGAAGCTCATATGTCTGGTTTCTGGTTAAGGAATAATAAGAAGATATAGGGTGCATTCATAGCAAACATTACTCATGAGCGTTTTTGTTAGAAATATTTTTGTAGAATCACATTCAAATTGGTTTTTTTGGATGAGCATTTCTGATGCTTTTATAATTCAATCACTTATCTTAATTTATTTAAAAAAATTAGAAAAACACTTTTAATCCTTATAAAAACACTACTTACATAGTTCAATAGCAATCGTTTACATGATTTTATCGAGAGTGAAAAATCAAGCACAAGTTTATAAAGTATGCAGCCACGTTTAAAGAGAGAGATCCCTTCAAATTAAGCAGCATGAAATTGAGCAACTGAGTACTTTTGGGAATCATCATTGCTGCACTGCATCACGTTGTTGTATATTCCACGTTAATTGAAATAACCCTTATGCACTTTAGTTTCATTTGATCACAATTGTTTATTAACTTAATGCATTCATGGGAATCTACAGACACACACACAGAAATTATGTTTTCCTGTGGGTGCATAATATTCAACTACTCTTGATCATTATCTCTAACGGTGACAGCTCAAATTAGTATATGGATATGTATTATATTCATATGAGAGAGGATCCTCACCATGGAGATTCTCCAATCACATCCGTTCATCGTACATCGTGCAGCTAGTTTTTATCATGTACTGTTTATATTCAATTTTAAATATAAAAAGTTACAATGATTTTTAACTGTACGATGTACAATGAATGTGATTTGAGAGTCACTAGATCCTTGCAAAGAGGATCCGGCGAGGATACACCTGGTATTCATATGACCCCGTTAGCTCATACTTTAGTCTAAGTTTTCATATATGTTGCCATTCAGCAACGCATGCCCTATTTTATATTTTAGTCTTTCTTTCTTATTTTCCAATACTCTCTCTCCATAACCATCTCACAGTTCCAACCTATAAAACAAAACAAAATTGATCACTTGCACCAGATAAACGCGCACAGACACACACACACACACACACACATATATATATATACGTGGTTTAGTGAGTTTGCAATTTATATATAACGAGAAACGAAATAGGTTGCAAGATAAACACAGCTTGGAATTTATGTTCTAACGTCAAGTCGCCAACTTTAGCATATATATGGCGGAGGTTTTATGTATCGCAAAAGCTGAGCAGACAATCTTGTTCTTAGGTTGCCAGACTACTCATGTTAAAAGTTCAAATGTGCGTCTCCAACATAAATGTAAGCATGAGAATCCACTTGTAAGCATATTCGTATGCTAAAGTGCTTTAAGGAATCACATGATATATATATTCTCCTATTTAAGATTACCACTATATGTAATATATATGACATATATTGCTTTGAGTGGAGTATCGATAGATTTCATCGAATACAAAAATACAACCACTTTCCCCATCAACGTCTTGCATGTCGAAGATTATTGATGTTTACCAACTTCAAACATAAATAAAGCTCTACTAGTTTAAACAACTTATCCTTCAATACCGACCTTATGAAGGCCTTGATTATATATCTCCTTCAAATAGTACTATTTTAGTGTGACGGACAAATGTAGCCTCGTGCTTTGAACGTCAGGCATTGTATAAACCATGCATTAAGAGGGTTATTATATAAAATGACAATATATTTATGCTTTTGAGGATCTGTCTATTGTTTATTTGTTCTGGCTAGCTCCTGATAATTATCTAGCTAATGTGAGTATAAGCAACTTGTTGCTCTGCAAGTTGCAAGTAAGCGTGTGATTAATTTCAAGATATAGGGATATTATCTGTATACTTCATATCTGCAATGTATCCCCGTTCCTATCTAATAGGGATTATACAGAAACTTCAACAGAGAAGTGTTTTTGTCAAAGGAAACCGTCTTAAGAACTTGTGGTCGTCTACATCAAATGCCACCTAAGATGGTATGAAAATGTGGTATAAAAACATGGTATGAATAGTATTACTCGTCTCAAGCTGGATACCTAAATGGATGACTCCTTAATTACTTTTTTTAATTTGCATAAATTTATTAAGAAGCTTTGGGAAGCACAAACTTCTTAAGGCTATGTCTAGGTTAAGGATTTTCAAGTACCAAGGAATTGAAACCAGATTACTGGAATGGATTATAAAAAATGTTAGATAGGAGTGATTATATTACCAAAATCGCATATGAGCATTACAAAAACGTGTAAAAAGGATTTGTAAATGACTTTCTTTGCAAATTCCTTTATGCATGTCTTTGTAATGGTCATATGGTGTTTTTTAATCTCTCTCATCTTACATTTTATGTTCATTTCCTTGCTAATTTGGCCTCAATCCTTTAAGATTTGAAAGTATCTCACCCCAAGTATATAATTAAAGAAATAATTTAATAATTAATCAGGAGTTTAACTTGGTTAATTAGGTTTTATATTTTCTACAAATTTGTAGAGATGAGAGCGATCTTCTAAAATGCCGAATTAACAAAGTTAATCAAGGAAGTTAGGGCAATGACCATTGGTAATGTAACTTATGTTGAGCATGTAGACACCAGCACATATAAATCCAATGAGAAGTCACCGTTGAGTTAAGTTAATAAACAAAGAAAAAAGGACCAAGGGTTTTCTCAACGGGCATTCTAGTTTTCGTTTTTACTTACTAATTTGTCATGGTGTTTCTTATTTATATATCATTAATGTTTCATGAAAACAATGCAAGAAAACACAAACCCAAGTCACAGATCCTACAAGATTTACTTCAGACAGTCTTACAATGTAGTTATATATGTGTGTGTGTGTGTGTGTGTGTGTGTGTATGCTCCAAAGAAAATCATTCTAAAACAAGCATAAATTAAAGAAAGGGTAAGTGAAAAATCTGGTGGATCCATTACGAACCCCCTAAATTTCAGGGACTTCTGCTACTTTATGAACGTAGTAAAATAATTGCTAGGTAGCTAGCTGTTTAAAGCTGAAACCTCAAACCAATCCATATATTTAAAGAAAAAAGTAAAGAGTAGTGTATTCCATAATCATGATAAACTCAGAAGACTATTTCCATGAATCCAAGAGACCGATCGAAAATCCATTGAAACAAAAGACATAAGGAAAAGAAGAGGAGGAACAAGACGAAGAACAAAAACAACAAAGGGGTTCAGAAAAGAAAAATAAATAAAAATTAAACATGAGAAGTGGTACTAGGTAGAACCAACAAGACCAAATTAAGTTGCAAAACATGGGCGTGATGTTAACGATGATACCTAGTCCATGAAATTTGCTAACCTTTATCTCCAACAAAGCTCATCTCATCCAGTATGCACTTAACCTCCCACAACGCACGCAGAAGCAGCTTCGAATCTAAATTGATTAAGGTTCTAAAAGTCAACATCGATGATGATCCCACAGAAAATCAGAATGGTGGACGACCCCCTGAGTTATTTCCATTTCCAGCCCACCCATCGATTGGCAACTGAACATTCTGCATATTCAATGGCAAATTGAAGAATGGAAGCCCCGAGGACGGGTCAGGAAAAGGGTTGTTTCCAACACTACCACCACCGCCGCCGCCGCCACTTCCCCCGGATCCCTGTGGGACCTGTACTTGCAACTGTTCCTCTTCATCCAAAGGCAGCCTCTCATAAGCAACATTAGTAAAGGATGAGGCGATCACAATAACGGGCCCTGCCGCGGTCAACTCCCCGACAACGCTGCCCCCGACAACCTGCCCCTGCCCGCCGGCCAAGAATATGGTCAAGCTTGTGGCCCCGGGTGGGGCAGGAGGTGGTAAAAATGACCCTGAAAGGGATAAAATCTCAAACCGTCCATGAAGTGTTACTACGGCCCCTGCTGCGGCCGGCTGCCGCAAGGTCACATTAGTGACGGTGCCACTTCCGCTCAAAATACAGATCCCACGCTGGCGGCGCCTAGCATACGTGGCGACGCAGTCAAAGACGTCGCAGCCGTTGCCTACCTCCAGAATATGTGCTCTGAGAGTGTTTGCACTCTCTCTTGTGATGATGACTGGTGGTTTTGGCTTGTTTTTGGATCCAGGTGGACGGCCTCGAGGACGACGAGCCACGATGTCTCCTGACCCGCCGTTGATGCCTCCGAGGTCGAGGCCACCCTGATGATGGTCATCTCCTGAGAACTGGCCCGTTGACCTTTTGACTACCGCATCGTCTTCAGAATCGGTTTGCTGTTGTTGTTGTTGTTGTTGTTGTTGGAGGTGCAAGTCTTGCCTGTGAAGCTGGTGAACGTAGCGAGGAACTGAGCCTAAATCCAAACCGGCCATGGGCACATCAAAAGAAAAACAGAAAACAAGGAAGAAAATATTAAAAATATTTTTTATATAAAATTAATTTATGAAACTGGGAAGCAAATTAAAAACTGTTTGTGGTTTTTCTGCTTTTGTTTATTTTATGAAAGTGGGAAAATTTTAAAATAAGAACGGAAACAAGAAGGGATATATGGAGAGGATAGCTAGGGTGTGCTCCGGCACTCGATGTTTTTAAAGAAAATAAACACAACGACAACAGCAACTAGGAAGATCGAGTGCAGAGAAAGGGAAGGGGAAGAAGAGGATGGATGAAAGGTGCTGTGTGGGGTTGGGGGCGACCAAAAGCTTAAATATACTACTAAAATATTGATTTCTTATTGTGAGGAAGAGGGGTATTGTTGCAATTATGACTCTCAACCTTAGAGAGTGGAGTAGACGCTATCTTCAAAAAAATTATAGAAAGGAATTATGATCTTATTCATTTTGAATACGATATATTAATATAAGAGATAAGAGATTTGTACTAAATTACACAATGAGTCAGTTATAATATTTTACTTTTGAATCTGCCTTGTACGAGAATGCAACCTAACTTTCACTTACAAGCGGAGTGAAAAACTACTAAATCCTATTACTAATTAAGTACTAGTTTAGTATTGAGGTACTTTTATAAAAAGTGGATATAACAAAAAACTGAACTCAAAAAGGTGTTTGGTAAACACTTAAAAACAATTTATTTTCACTGTTTTGGGCGAAAAAAAAAAACTGAAAACGTGAAGCTGCTCTCATAGCACAGCAGAACCTGTTTTTTTTTTTCAAAGTACAGCAATACCAAACCAGCCCTAAGTGTCATCATTGGTCTCACTTTTTTTTATTTGAGTTTAGATTTTATAATTTTTACAATATACGTTAATTTAGGGTTTAGGGTTTGAATAGGATCATAAAACATTTTTTATTTATTGAGCAACAGAGCCTAAAACCATATATGTAGTTTTTATTTTTTTTTTTTTTTGGACACAAGGACCTTGTTAACAAAGGTTTTTTGTTTTTTTAACTAACATTATTTGGAGGTGGGAGATTTTAGTTAAGCCAGTAATATGGTAGTGGTAGCGACTTGTTAACACAATTAACACACAACAACAATCAAAATAGGATATGAAATAATGAGTAGTTTCTGATCATTTACTTATGGTACATATGAACTAATTGTGTAGGCAATTACCCATAAATTTACAATTTCAATCATATATGCACAAATATAAATTAAACCCAAAACTCATATGTAAGAGAATTAGTTATATGACTTGAACTCAGACATTTCTCCATTATATATACGAAGCTTATTTTCGCAATAGTAGGATTATAGGGTTTAGACTTAAAGTATAACGTCAAACTGTGTTTGGGTGAGAAATTTTTAAGTCCCAAGAAATTGAGGTTAAGTTCTGAAGGAATGAACTACAATATGTTATATATGAGGGATTTGACACTACCAAAAAAAAAACACTTTGTGCGACGAAATAAGTTTGTTGTGTACAGTACAATTTCGTCACGCAAAACCTGTGCGATGAAAGTTTGGTCGCACATAATTTGTCTTGCAAAGCTTGTGACGATAGAGTTTGTGCCATGAAAATTAATCTTCTTTGCGCAAAGTAGCTTTGTACGACGAAGATTAATATCGCACAAAGCTTTGCGCGACGAAATATTTTAAATTAAAAATTTTTGTTTTTAAATTTTTTTAATTAAAATAAATTAATTTAATATTTTGCGCGATGAAATATCTTGTCGCGCAAGGTTTTTGACTTTTTGTTTTATTATTTCTCTTATATTAATTGTTTATGAAATATTTGGTAGCACAAGATTTTTCGAATTTTTACTTTTTAAATTTAATTTAATTGTATGATTTTATTTTTTTAATTACTTTAATTTAAATTGACATAAAATAAAATTACATATGAAAACTAGTGATCAAATTATCCAATATATATAATATATTCAAAATGTACACATAAATTAATAAAGTACAATAATAAAATCCTAATACAAGTCTATTGTGGTGGTAGTGGCGAGGGATATGTTTCAATAGCGTCCCAATCCTCAACTTTAGCCGTCAAAGTCTCGACGATTCCCTACAAAAAAAAAAAAAATGGTCAAATAACAGAAAAATAACAAAAAATTGGCATAATCTCCCCTAAAATTGGTATACCCCAAATCCAATCCCAAACTCCACTCCTCATCTTATACTCGACCTCAAACCCCACACCAAACTCAAAACTAACTCCAAATACACATATTAATGAAAAAAATTATATAATTTGGGGAGAATATACCTTTTGGCAAGATTGAGAGTGAGTGAGAATGAGAGGGAGGAGTTAGTGTGAGAGAATTAGAGGAGATAGTGAGAGAGAGAATAGAGAGTGAGTGAAAGTGAGAGATAGTGAAGAGAGAGAAGAGAGATTAAGTGAGTGTGAGAGAGAGGATCGGATTTGGGGAGAGGGAAACAAAGAGAAGAATTAAGAGTAGAGAAAGACATTGAGAAAATGGTGGAGGAGTTATTTTGATTTTAAAGCCGTCTCACGTTGCGCGACAAAATATTGGTCACGCAAAGTCTTCCAAAAAATTTTTAAAAAAATTTTCCCGCATCCCATTTTTGGTGCCCACCCAAATTTTTAGAGCCTTGCACAATGAAGTGTTGGTCGCACAAAGTCTTTAAAAAAAAAAAAATTTCCCGCGTCCCATTTTTGGTGCCCGCCCAAATTATCAGAGTTTTGTGCGACCAAGTGTTTAGTCGTACAAAGTTTTACGCGACGAAAAATTGGTCGCTCAAAGTCTTAAAAAAAATTCCGGCGTCCCATTTTTGACTCCCATCCAAATTTAAGGATTCTGCGCGACAAAATATTGGTTCGTCGCGCAAAATTTATAAAAATAATTTTTATAAATAATAAAAAAGAAAATAATTTTATTTTACAATTTAAAATATATATAAATTAAAATAAATAAGGTTTAGGCGACCATATGTGCATTCGTCGCGCAGAGAAAATAATAAATAAAATAATTTAGTTTAACAATATAAATATAAAAATAAATAAATAAAATAAGTAAATAATTTAGGATATTCATCGCGCAAATTTTTTATAAAATAATAAAAACTTATGAAAACAACTATATTTTTAAATTATAATATAATATAAATTAAATAAATAAATAAATAAATTGGTTTGCGCGACGCATGTATACAACTACACTTATATGAATAAACGAAAAATTACAATTTAACGGTTATTCAAACTCCGATTTTGATATTTTTTTTACAGCTACACTCATTGACCTATATGAATACAATAAATGAATTCGATCTTCAATTTAAAATATTTACACTAATGGATAGCACAAAATCTTATGTTATACTTAATGAAAGTATAAATAAACTCTAAGTGTTAGTGAATATATTGTTTTGATGGGATACACATTCTACGAAGCTAGTTTCAACGATCCAACCGTTAAACTTGTTTGTATATACTTCAAGATCGCGTACACCAAAAATCGCAAAAAAACAAACATTCAGAGATCAAGTAATGGGACAAAAGTTTTCGACAGTTATAAACGAAAAATCATGATTTAACGATTATTTTAACTCCGATTTTGATGATTTTGTACAGCTACACTCCTTGACTCTATATGAATACAATGAATGAATTCGATCTTTAATTTAAAATATTTACACTAGTGAATACCACAAAATCTTATGTTATACTTAATGAAAGTATAAATAAACTCTTAAGTGTTAGTGAATCTATTGTTTTGATAGGATACGCATTCTAGGAAACTAGTTTTAAAGATCCAACCGTCAAACTTGTTTGTATATACTTTAAGAACACATACACCAAAAATCGCAAAAAACAAACATTCAGAGATCAAGTAATGGGACAAAACTTTTCGACGGTTCTAAACGAAAAATCACGATTTAATGGTTATTTTAACTTCGATTTTGATGATTTTTACAACTACACTCCTTGACCCTATATGAACACAATGACTGAATTCGATCTTCAATTTAAAATATTTACATTAGTGGATACCATAAAATCTTATTTTATACTTAATGAAAGTATAAATAAACTCTTAAGTGTTAGTGAATCTATTGTTTTGATGGGATATGCATTCTATGAAAATAGTTTCAACGATCCAACCATCAAACTTGTTTGTATATACTTTGAGATCATATACGCCAAAAATCGCAAAAAATAAACATTCAAAGATCAAGGAATGGGACGAAACTTTTTGATGGTTATAAACAAAAAATCATGATTTAACAGTTATTTCAACTTCGATTTTGATGATTTTTCACAGCTACACTCCTTGACCCTATATAAACACAATGACTAAATTCGATCTTCAATTTAAAATATATTTTTCTAACAAAAATCCGATCCGAACTACAATAATATATTTTTCTAACCAAAACCCGATCCGAACTACAATAATAAATTTAAAGCTATTTAATAAATATATATACCGTTCAATTTATTAGGTGTTATATGTACAAAATAAAAAACGAAAATAAATTGGTTTAGGTGATGAAATATTTGAATTATGTCGCGCAAAGATTTAAAAAAAAAATTATTTTATTTATTTTTGTAAAGACTTTGCATGACGAAGTTTAAAGTTTCGTTGCGCAAAGTGACTTTGTGCGACGATGTGTTTTTCGTTGCGCAAAATTTCGTCATGCAAAGTCAGACGATGTGTGTTTGTCACACAAGAGTTTTTTTTAACTAGTGTGAAATGCTCTTCATGACCATTAGGAAAACATGTAGAAGAGGATTTAATTTGTAAATGACTCCTCCTAAGACCATCTCCAACCCTTGGGGATAAAACTTAAAAAATTAACTAGAAAATTTTAAGCCATAAGCCAAAAAACTATATTTTTCCTCCAACCCTTGTGGCTTAAAATTTTAGTCCGTGATGATTAAATAATGATTTTAGCCTAACTTTTTGTTTTCGGTAACTTTTTTTGAAAATAAAATTTATGTAGATTATCTTAATTTATTTTAATGAACATTTTAGTCTAAACATATTTAATTTCTGATAAGTAATTAAAAATCATACAAATACATAGGTATTTATAAAGTTTTAAGTTAAATTTGATTTAAATTATTTTAGACGTTAGATTTAATTTTTGGCCGTCAAATCTTTCTTTTACTATTAGATATGATCTTATTTGATCATAACCGTTAGATTATAAGTAAAAAAAAAAAAAAAAAAAAATTGAAATATAACAGTTTGGTGGGCCTAGAATAATTTAAGCCAAGCTTAAATCCTTGTGGGAATCTAGCCTAGAGATAT